GCTTCGTCCCTGAGGACAACCAGTCATTTATTATATTATTATTTAGGTTGGTCCATCGACGTCCAGGATCCAGGACGACATTGAAGCATGCATGAGTCACCCCCAAAAACGAGGATGACTCGCGCCCGCATTCCCTGCCATTTCTGAAGCGTTTTTGCGAATGGCAAATCAAAATCATGCCGAATACATGAAATACCCCTCCCTCGTCCATGGATCGTTTAGATACTAGTAATAGTGAGAGCAAAATACAGCGACTTATAAGTTACTGACCTAGAAACGACGAAAGCTTTTGGTACTAGTACCGAACTCGTTGAACGATGACTGCTTCCTTATAATCCTGCATGTAAAAGATAATGAACTGCTCGCTTTATTTCTGTGTCCGTGGGTTTTCTTCGCTCTTGAGAAAGAAAGTCGTATGGCAGAGCAGACGGCGGCGGGCACATATGTACCCGAACAAATATATTCAAGAGGATTGCCTCTATGCAAGAGAGTCGACTCTTTACGGAAATAAATCAAAAAAGTGTTTTCCACATGTGAAGGAACTCTGGGAATACAGCAGCATCAGTTGAGAAAAACCTTGAAAATAACAAGAAAGTACATATATAATCATCATGTTAAAATACGAAAATATCTGGATCTATTTAGTTATTATAAACATTTAATTCTTCTTTTTTTCCCCCGCCGCGCTTGCTTTCCCCCTTTTCCCCTTGTCATTTCAGCACGACTCCCGGTATGGTCATACACGTCTTGTTCAGAGTATAGAGAGCAATAGCCTTGTGTCGCCATCTCCGAAAATACAACCGCCCAATGTTGGCGTAGGAGTGGTCGCGTTATCATCGAAACCATTTGCGCATAATCATTTGTGCACAATGCGGTTTATCACCGTAACCTGCACCAGTATCTGTTCACTGCTGCAAACCTTTTGTCCCCCCTCTTGCGCTGCATCGCTTTCTACGATTGATCTCTCAAAACCCTTAATTCCCACCAGGCACACATCGTGTTCTTATTTCTTCTTATTTTGTTCTCTTCTGTTTTTCCCTTGCGGTTTCTTCTTCTTTCTTGCCAGCATGGACAATAAGAGGCAAAATAGAGAATAAATAGAATCAGATGCAGAACTTTATCGGAGAGAGAAAGAAGAAGGAAAATTTCAAGTCTTATAGACGAGAAGTTTTAATATTATGTTGTAACAAAGATAAAAGCCGAGCCAGCCATGCTGAGTTGCGGATTACCATCAAGTGTCTTCTCTCAAAACAGCGAGAAGCAAGATAAGAGAGAAGAATGTGGTACGAGCAGGATTGCTGAATATACTTCACTGGAGAAGCGAGGAGAGTAAAATGCTGTGAACACAGCTAGTAATCCAAGAGCTTAGGTGTGGGATATATATGTGTCTGGGGTCCTATCCGCCCATTTTTTTGTTTCGGGGTATTCCCTCCCTTCGAACAAGTCATGGGATCTCATAGTTTCAAGTCGGTCGCAACCATCTCACCTGATATATAAGGGATGAGAGCCGACAAAGAGATCGGCCTGCATATAAATATAAAGTCGGATTTTTGCTGTAATGGTCTCCATGGATGAACCAGATAATCGTGAAACAGTCTACAAGGCTAGAACTCGGGAAGGGTCATGCAGAAATCGTCTACGGTAACCGGCAATTTCCGTCGCAACAGTGTTGAGATCTTTCACATTATCGCGTCGCATATCGATGATGGTCTGTTTTAGTCCGGCAAGATACTCCACTTGTTCTTCAATAGTCTTCCCCTCTCTTAAGGAACCCATCTCACGAAGTATTTTGTCATCTGTGAGGGTTAATATTAGTCCCAAGTCAGCTTATCGACATTATCAAAGGGAGTATGGGGATAGGGAAATAGGGCAAGACATATTCGATGGGAGAGATAAGAGAGGGAAGGTGGAGGGTAGGGAAAGTTGTAAATTGTGAAACATGATTAACTTCTTGAGCTCATCTTTGTCGACGCACCACTCAAGATCATATCTCGAAAGTGTTGATATTCACACGAATGGTCGTTACAGAACCCGCCCGCAGCCTCATATAGACATATATAATTATATGGGTCGATTTTATGGCTGTAAGTCAACGAGCGATAACCACCACTGATATCTTTAGTGAAGCAGGGATGATATCGGTAAGCCTTAAATAACTTTAGCGGACTACTGTAAGGGGTAAAATAGCGACGGGCACCCTCTTCGCCCTCTGCGCCCTCTGTGCCCTCTTTGACCTATTGTATGTATTAGAACTATTCAATTCAATCCAAAGGTCCGGGCTGAGATACCTTGAGAGAATCTGAGTTTGGGTCAGTCACAGAGTCCTGAGCAGCTAAAGTTAGTGCGTTAACATCTTGGGAAATAGACGATGATTCGGCAGCTACATGCTCTACTTCATCCGGCAAAATCAAGTTAAAGGGTGAAGTCTGAATGTGGTCGGTGTGTGCTGTGCGAGGATCCGGCTCAGGTGGTTCATATCTATCCGATTCAGCTGAAGATTCCCTATAACTCATGGACTCTTCAGAGTTATCAGGTTTAGCCAGGGAATGGCCCGATTGGCCGTACTCCAAACCAATGTGTAAAGGTCGAGGAGACATGCTAGATTCACATAGTCGCACATCCAAATCAGTAAAACTGGAATGTGCATTTGCTCCGGAACGCGATTGGCCTTTCTCTTCCAGTGCCTGGGGCTCTTCTTGTGTCTTTTCTACTTCTAACATATCTTGTGTACTTCCCATCGACTCATCCATGGCGGAACTAGAGCATGTCGTTCCGTCTTCTGCCATGTCAGCCGTTGAATGAACGTCAGTTTCTTTGGGGGGAGACATTCTCATATCTATCGCTTCTTGGGAAGTCTTTGGGACGGTTTCAAAACACTGGGAAACTGTCTGCTCCTTAGTCGAGGGCTGTAAAGATGGCGCAGAGCCACTGTCCCGAGCTATTCCGCGGTGTGTTGACTCTTGAGCGTTTAATATGCTATCCGCAGGAATTTTCTGCGGAGTTGATTGTGGCAGAGCTAGTAAGACGTAACCGACGGGTAAGATTCCAACAACTAGACTAATTCCACAAGCTGATCGTGACGGAGTGCAGGGACTAGGGAAGCGGTAATGGATATGCCAGGAGTAGGCTCACCTTTATCATCATGTATATCTTCAACTGTGTTTTCTAGGAGATTCTTCGTGACTTGGGGTTCCTCGATAGATTGCCCAGCTGTTTTGAATCCAAGGGCTTCTAGTTCTTCAACGAGAAGACGTTTTCCCTCCTTTCCTTTCTCGATTTGGGCCAGCAGCCTTTGTTCCTCCTCACGAAACTGCCGCAACCGTGCTTCAGATTTTTGTAACTCTGCCTCAAGTTCAGGAAGCCCGGCTTCTATTTCCTTTTTTCGCATGAGCTTTTTCCGTATAGATTCACTCTGCATGGGTTCAATAGAGTTTTGCGACAAAACGGACTGACTACGAAGAGCACCATCAGAATTTGGACTCGTTTCGATTCCCGAATTCAATATTTTCTCAGTGCATGTGGAATGAGCTGGTGAACTTTTAGGCTGACTTGAGGGCAGCATAGGGAGCTCGGCTTCCATCGTCGGCTTCCATTGTGACTGTGGAGCAATTGAGCCATTTCCACCAGCCGAGGTCGTAGCCGACGGGGCCAGGACTGCCGGCGTCTACTTGCTTGCGGATTGTTTTTCTTTCTTGCGTTTTCGTACTCTGCTATTCTCTGGCGCATGGCCTTGAGTTCTGCGTTCAGATCGTCTGGATCCTTTCCTCGGTTACGTAACTGCGCTGTGAATACTGGCGGAGTGGAACGGCGAGAGTGGTTTCTTGAAGGGAAGTCGGATAGGGGAGGTATATCCCGATTTAGTAGTTGATTCGAAATCGAATTCATACCCGATCTAACAACGGGAGGTTCAGGCGCGCGGCGTTTAGGTTCAGAAGCTTCATCATCCGAACCATACATGAATTCATCTTCACTTATGTCAATAATCACCTTGTGTTGGGTGCTCGCCACCCTCTTTTCTGGCGTTTTTCGTGGTGCAAGGTCCGGCTCATCAGTAAAATCGGAAGCCCTTGGACGTTTTCGGGGTGCCCGGATTTTTGTCGACGGTGGCTCGGTTGATGGGACCGAGTTCTTATTGCCGACCGAGAGATCCTGAACTCTGAGTGGCTCAGAACTAGTCATGAACAATCCAGGTATACGTGCGGTCGACGATGGATTAGGTACAGGAGGGCGACTAGGTAACGGATGGTTCAAGGATAATGGAGGCTTGGATGGCTGGGATGGAGGCGTTGAATTTTGCGAACTCCGAACCAAGCTGCTACTGAGTGGAAGTTGTTGGTCAACAATCGGAGCTTCGCTAGCTGACTGGGTCTGGTTTCTTCCAAGTCCTTGCTGTTTCAATTGTTGCATTCGCTGCCTCGCCAATTCCGTCTGTGCTTTGTTCTTCTCTTTTGCCCGAGTCTCACTAGCAATATGCTTTGGCGACGGAGGGGCCCCAACTTTTGCTGGCGCAGAGGTATCATTTGGATCGGCTAAGGGCAGATTTTCTAGCGGCATCAATTTCTTTGCAGCCTCGGATTTTGTAGAGTCTGTCGTACTCGCTGGTTTCCCTGCTTTACTTGCAAGCATTCGGGCAATTATATCCTTTCGTTCCATAGGCTTGCTTGATTCTGCAGCGAGCGCGATTGATGTCCCTTGTGTCAACTGAGAGTTCGATAGTTGGGGTTTATCTCGAACACTTTCACAGACTGGGCTTTTGGCGACTGCACCGGGGGCCGCATGCGAGACAGGTGTCGTGACACTTTCAGCTTCAGATTTGAGAGGGACTTGCGACCTAGCGATTGACGTAGTCATCATCTCCTTTGACTGACTAGTGTCGGCTTGCTTTTTGTCTTGAGTGGAGATAACTTTAAGCCCAATATCATCGTAGAGTCGCTTGAGAATGACTGGATCGATGCCTTCATTTACAAGTTCGTCAAATTTGATATTGTGGGGAGCTAACCCTAACAAGGCCCCCTGTGCCTGAACTCGTAGTTGTGCTGGCGACTTTCCATAAAACGGGTATGTCCCGCTTCCATTAGTAGTAATGTCCATTTCATCATGGGAAGCTACTGACTGGATAGAGGATACAGGTAAAGATTCACGAGAACCTCCCGCTTTTACCATCGGTAGGCTGCGGGGGTCCCGGGAGGCTAATTTATCCTGAACACTTCCTCCAGCAGAGATATCGGCAGCTAAATCGGTCGCTTTCATATCTTCACGAGAGGACCCAGAGGTAATATTATTTGTCTGAGGGAACTGATGTCTTCTTGCTTTCACCTGAAATTTGAGGCCCCTCAGGGGATTGCTGACGCGAGAGTGATTGGTGAGAAAAAAGGAAAGTTGTCCTGCAACACGGTCAGTTGGTGGTCACCTTGATGCTGACTGGGCCGCAAATACCCATGAGTGCCAACATCACTATGCCCCCTTATGATTTTCATTCGGTTGCTGTGAGGATAGATATGGTTGTTCCGGAATATCCTCTTTCGGTTGATGATTTCGTACCCATCCGGCCCAGATGACTCTTCTTCTTCCGTGTCTCCGTTGCTTAGCCCACCTTCTTCTTTGCCACCTAAATTCACGTATTGCGGCGAGTCCATGGGGTCCAAGGCTGCAGTCTTACCATATTCTTTCATTGTAGCACCCGTGCGGATTGGAGATACGTTTTCAGTTAAGCCATTCTGTGGAGGATGAGGGGTGGTAGGCTGCTGGGGAAAGCCCATGGGAGTAGCAAAAGCAGGCGCATATGGATCTGGCTGGAAGGATTGTTGAAAAGGTGGCATGAAGTGAAAAGATGGCGTCAAAGGTATGGATGCGTTATTGTTACCCGAAAGACCTGGAATCTGAGTGCTTGGCTTAAAACTTGGATTGGTGGTCGCGTAGGTTGGGGGTGGTGGACGGATCGGGTTTTGAGGGTGATAGGCATCAGGAGCACCACCTGGTGTTGTAGAGGTAGGATATGGAGGCAACTGCTGAGACGGGCTATAGCGACCGCCAAAAGAAGGGGTAGGAGGGTAACTCGACGACATCTTGTAGGCAGGGCTTAGACGGGCGGCTAAAATAAGATATAAAGGGGGGGGTTCGAAGCGCTTCCGCAAATGTGAATAAATCGAGGCCAAGTTGCCAAAAAGGCAGGTGAATGTATATTACGCGTCAAGGAAAGCGAGATGAGGCAGCAAAAGCCGTCAGTCTCCGAGAGTAACATCACATACCGCGGAGGGTATGATGTTTTTTCAGTAGGATGATGCACACCAAACCTTAAGCAAAAGCTATATAAATTATTATTGATAATAGGTAGACGCAGTTTTGATCAATAGCAAAGCAGACACATCATGATGACAAGGGCAGTAATCAAATACGAGATAGTCGAAGGGTGAGCATGCCTGGTGTCGGAAGTGCATGCGCGGTGCAGTGCAAGATGCAAGATGGATGATGAGTTGGAAGTGTCGAGAAGGAGAAGATGCGAAAGTTTGCCAAGTCAGGTGACTGCTAGCCGCCCCAAGGGAGCGCACGGGCCACCACACCCCGGTAGCGGTAGCAACTTACTGCGGACAAAGTAAACAAACACAGCGCATTGAGATGAAGTCACTCCCGAGGTCGTTTCCCCTGGCCCAACAACCAACGACAACAATTGCAGCACTTACAAACCACCACCATAAAGGATTGCCTCCCTGGGATGAGAGGTGGAGGTGTATCATATCTTGTTTAATTCGTCTTCTCTGATATCACCCCGCTCTGGGTATTTTTTTCGTGACCGGGATCCGTCTTGACTAGCTGTACAGAGGGCATAGAAAAGCGCAACTCGACCTCATGAGCTCTATCCTCTTTTAGAGTAATTCTAAAATGGCTCCCCTTCCGCAAAGCCCTTCGTCAAGGCGTGTCAATCCGTTTAGTAGAGGGTCCCCGTCTCCCTCCCCGCACTCTCCTCAAACAACTCCGACTCCATCATCAGCCAGCGTCAGGCCTAAGTCTGTTGCATTCGCCACTCCGGTTTCAATAGAGCAATATGGGCACAGCCGTAATGCGTCATTCTCACCCATGAGCTCAGGAATATTTGTACCTTCACATACCAGACAACGCTCAAATTCAAGAACCAACCTAGCAACTTCGAATACCTTTGCTCCTCAATTCATAAAATCGGAAGAGCTACGAAGGGGCGCTGATCAAATCCGTGGGATTGAGGGTGATAACGACTTTTCGGGGAAAAGATATGTTTGGCTGAGTGACCCGGAGAAGGCTTTCATCAAGGGGATGGTTCTGGATGACACACAGGATGGACATTTATTAGTCCAATGCGATGACGGCAGTGTATGTTTGAAATGTTTAATTTGGCGGTACCGTACCATACAACTTTCATACTAACAGTAACGATGATTTCCTAGCAACGTGAGGTCGATTCCGAGAGCGTCGATAAAGTCAATCCTGCAAAGTTCGACAGAGCAGACGATATGGCTGAGCTTACCCATTTGAATGAAGGCTCTGTCGTTCATAATTTGCTTACACGCTATAAATCAGACTTAATATATGTAAGAAACATCTCAGTTCGTTTGTTTCTATAACAATAAATGGTATATTGATCAGAAAATTTAGACATACTCAGGCCTCTTCCTGGTTACTGTTAATCCTTACTGTCCACTGCCCATCTACACAAACGAATACGTGAAGATGTATAACGGTCGATCACGGGAAGAAACACGTCCCCATATCTTTGCCATGGCGGATCAAGCATTTCGAAATCTTGTTGAAGAGGGGCGGAACCAGAGTATTTTAGTCACGTAAGTTTTCGAGCGCAGCTTTTCGAGACCCATGGGTAACTGACATATTGCAGCGGTGAGTCTGGAGCTGGCAAGACGGAAAACACAAAGAAGGTCATCCAATACCTTGCAACTGTTGCATCTTCCCCAGAGGGTTCACAAGGCCGCTTGACCAGCAAACAAAATTCCAACCTTTCCCAGCAAATATTAAGGGCGAATCCAATACTTGAAGCGTTCGGCAATGCTCAAACTGTGAGAAATAACAACTCATCTCGCTTTGGAAAATTCATTCGAATTGAATTTTCACGGGCCGGTCAGATATCAGGGGCCTTCATTGATTTTTATCTCTTGGAAAAATCCCGTGTCGTGAAGGTTAATTCTCAAGAGCGAAGCTATCACATATTTTACCAACTTCTCCGTGGTGCAGACAAGGAATTGAGGCACCATCTCCAGCTATCTGAGCAGGGTATTGAGGATTTTTGGTACATACGTGATGGGAACGACTCGATTTCAGGTGTTTCCGATCTTGACGAATGGAATAACCTTATGGAAGCGTTCAGTATCATGAACTTTTCGGGTAACGATCAATTGTCCATTCTGCGAACCGTGGCTGCAGTTATGCATCTGGGAAATGTCACCGTGACCAAGGAAAGCCTGCGGGCAGACCAAGCGACACTGACACCTGAAGGTTATGAAAGTGCTGCAAAAGCTTGTCAGCTTTTGGGCATCCCGATTGATCCCTTTGTGAAGGGCCTGCTCCACCCAAAAGTAAAAGCTGGAAGGGAGTGGGTAGAGAAAGTTCAAACCCCTGAACAAGTACGACTTGCCCTCGATGCGCTGGCAAAAGGTATCTACGAAAGGGGATTTGCAGATCTCGTGAGTCGAATCAACAAGCAACTAGATCGCAGTGGGACAGCAGGGGATGATAGTTGCTTTATCGGGGTTCTCGATATTGCAGGCTTCGAAATTTTCGAGACCAATAGCTTTGAACAACTCTGTATAAATTATACCAACGAAAAGCTACAGCAGTTTTTCAACCACCACATGTTCGTGCTGGAACAGGAGGAGTACGCTAGGGAGCAAATCGAATGGCAGTTCATTGATTTTGGAAAGGATCTTCAACCCACCATTGACCTTATCGAACTTCCTAATCCGATCGGAATATTCTCTTGCTTGGATGAAGATTGCGTGATGCCAAAAGCTACTGATAAATCATTTACTGAAAAACTTCATTCGTTGTGGGGCCGGAAATCTCCAAAATATCGTTCTTCCCGACTAAACCAAGGATTTATCCTCACCCACTATGCCGCTGAAGTCGAGTATTCCACTGAGGGATGGCTAGAGAAGAATAAAGATCCCCTCAACGATAATGTCACCCGACTATTATCTTCATCAAGTGATAAACACATCGCCAACCTCTTTGCTGACTGGGCTGAAGTCGACGGAGAACATGAAGTGTCAAAGAGCCGCGTAAAAAAAGGATTATTCCGCACTGTTGCCCAACGACACAAGGAGCAACTTTCGAGTCTCATGGCTCAGCTACATTCTACACATCCTCATTTTGTTCGTTGTATCTTGCCCAATCACAAAAAGAGACCCAAGCTATTTGATGGCCCTTTGGTACTGGATCAACTCCGCTGCAATGGTGTACTGGAAGGTATTCGAATTGCCCGTACCGGATTTCCCAACCGCCTTTCGTTCACAGAGTTCCGACAGCGGTATGAGGTTCTTTGTCCTCTGACGGCAAAAGGATACCTTGACGGACAAAGCGCGGCTAGCCTTATTGTTGAGAACCTGGGACTAGACAAGTCGCTATATCGTATTGGTCTGACAAAGATGTTTTTCAGAGCTGGTGTTCTTGCAGAGCTCGAAGAGCAAAGAGACACTCTAATACGTGACATCATGACAAGATTCCAGTCTGTTGTCAGAGGGTTTGTCCAGAGGCGCATTGCAAACAAACGGTTGTACCGTACAGAAGCCACTCGTATCATCCAGCGTAACTTCCACGTCTACCTTGATCTAAAATCATCCCCATGGTGGACGTTGTTTGTACGGATGAAGCCACTTCTTGGAGCAACACGAACTGCTGGGGAAGTGAAAAAACGCGACGAGCAAATCAAACAACTTGAGGAGAAAGTACGAAATGACATTGTAGAGCGCCAAAAGTTAGAGGAGGAGCGCCGGAGGGCAGACGTAGAAGTGCAAAGGATAAGGAAGACTCTCGAGAGTGAGCGCGCATTGGCCTTGGATAAAGAGGAAATTTTCAAAAGACTCCAATTTCGAGAGATCGAGCTCAGCGAAAAGTTAGCCGGCGCAATCGTTGATCAAGAGGGCTTGGAGGATCAGATGGATGAGTTGATAGCATCCAAAAAGAAAACTGAAGAGGAGCTGGAGCTTCGACGTTCGCAGCTTGAGCAAGCAGCGCAGATAATCAGCCGCCTTGAATCTGAGAAGAAAGAACTCCAAGGACAAATCACTGAACTTGAGAAACAGTTACAAGATATTGAGAATAATCACCAAAAGCGAGATAGCGAGGTTGATAGACTGTCTCAGGAAGTCAAGATGCTTAATAGCCACCTAAGCTTAAAGGAGAGGAAATTACAAGATCTCGAAGCTAAACTTCTCAAGTCAAACCAGAACCTGGACATCAAGCTGGCGAATGCGACCAAAGAACTCCAGTTTTCGAGGAAGCAAGTTAAAGATCTTGTAGAAGAAAACAGATCAATTCGCCAACAGATCTCCGATCTATCCTCCACATCGACCGGGTATGAAGAATTAGTCAGACGAAAGGAGGGGGAGATTTCCATCCTTCGTGGAGATGTGAAAAAGTTGGAGTCGGAGAAAATAACCCTGGAAGCCGAAAAGCAGACTCTTACACGCCGACACAGTGACATGCAACAACGACTCCGTGAGCTCCAGGCACAAACGGATGCTATGACGTCGGAAAAGAAGAACCTGGAACGCGAGGCTGCAGATGTCAAGAAGCTATTAGAAGCCAAGATCTCCGAAGATGCCGAGGCTGGGCAATGTCGCAAATTGCTTGATCAACAAATCAAGGATCTCAAGGAGCAACTGTATGCTGTTTCAAGCTGATCTTAGCCGTGAGAGGCAATCAAGAGACGATGTGCAAATACTCGGTGAACATAAACATGCTCAACTCCAACAGGAATTTGACATCCCTTAACGAATCGAAGATTACTAATAGAGAAAAGAAATGTATATCCCCCATTGACACATTACGGCGAGCTACTGAAGCGCGAGCAGCAGCTGAGGCATCCTGTAAAGAGTTGCAGAAGGAACTCATCAATCTACGAGAACGCTTCACCAAGGTTGAGCGCGCGCATTTGGATGCCGAAACCGCAATTGAAAAGAAAATTGTAGCGCAAGCAAGTGAACGGCAAGCAAGTTTACGGCGAGACCTTACGGCAAAATCCAACGAACTTGACGAAGTCGAAAAAGAACGTGCTCGCCTTGCTGCGCAGGTGCAGGACCTCACGCGAACCATGGCCGAATCCGAGGCCTTCCGGATTCGCCATGATCAGCATAAGGAGCGCCTGGAGCGCGAACTCGTGACAATCAAGGGAAGGCTCGCTGCCTCGGAAAATGACAACAGAGCCCTTCTTAACAAAATCCAGCAGAAAAACCTTGACATTGCTCGTTCAAATTCTCGGGCTAGTGACACGCAACGATCGAGGATGGTGCAGATCCAGAATGAGAAGAGTCGGTTGGAGGAAGTGAACAAGCAGCTTTTACGACAGCTGGGCGATGCCCAACTATCCATCACCGCACTTGAAAAACAAAAGGAAAAACTGGCTCTAAGCGTTGAAGATCTCAACCATGAGGTTACCAGAGAACATAAGGCAACAAGAAGTGCGGAGAAAGCATCATCAGCATCCAATATCCAGCTTGCTGAGGCCAATAGAAACCTTGAAACCGAAAGGCAGCTGAGAATCCAGGCCCAAGCCAACACGCGCAAACTTCAAGCTTCTGTTGATCAAGCAAATAAAGAACTTCAAGATTGCCATCAGCAGCTTATACTTCTCCATAAGGTATTCAACCCTGAAGCTGATGAAAACCCCAGTTCCTGGGAGGCGGTCAAACCGAACTTGTCCAAGAGTGTGGATATGGCAGCAGTGTTGGAGTCAGTACAAAACAAGCTTAGAGTTACTGAAGAGAAATGCGCTCGCGCTGAAAGCCAACTAGCTGAAATGCGTCGACGCCACGCGGATGAAATGGCTGAGCTTGATGCTCGTTATTCCTCTTCCAAACGGGCACTTCTTGAAGAGATCGATCAAAATCAAGTTGCAGTGTCGCGTTCGCCGAATCACTTCAAGAAGAATTCCGATCCTGTCAAGCGCTATTCAAACCCCTGCACACCAAACAATCGCCGATTTAATTTCAATGATGGCGCCAATGATTCTGGTCGATCTGATAGAACTGTGGACACTGTGGCTTTTCAGAAGCGAATGGATACTGCTGCTGAAATCGGAATGCTTCAAAATCAACTTCAGCTCACTGAGATGCAGAATCGGCAACTCCAAAGTCAGCTTGAGAGGTCAAGCCCGGGACGGGATTCGTGGCAAGATGAGAGCCCTTCGATCCGACGAATGCAGCTGCTTGAGCGTGAAAATGGACGTCTTCACGAAAAGCTTGACGACTCCGCGAAGAAAGTGTCAGCTCTGGAACGTAGTATTCAATCTGGAGAGTTAACCCTCCGAGATGTCCAAGCCAGATCTCATGAAGAACTCTACGACCTGCTCAACTCTCAGGAACAGTCAAGAAAATCGCTTCTGCACGCTCATAAGAGTGCGCTGGCCGATCTAACAGACGCAAAAGGCCAGTTGGACAAGATCAAGCATTCAAGGGTAAGCCTTGAAGTCGAGCTACGGGATGCTACTTCCGAGTTGAAAGAATTGCAGCTTGCCAGGGATCAAGATGCGGCCGGTCGGTCTCAATTGCTCCAGGAGTTTGCAGACCTCCAAATTAGATTGGATGCTGAAACTTCCAAAGTCAGCGACTTGACCTCCAGCCTCGAGCTCTACAAGGGTCGCGCCGATGAATACTTTGGAAAGCTTGAACAGGCTGAAATCGCTGTCTTGAAAGCTAGTCGCGCCGAACAGTTTGCCAAAGCGCAAGCCAAGGAGGCAGAAGATACATGCGCAACCATTATGGCAGAACGGAAACAAATGGATAGCCTAATTGAAGATTTACAACGCCAGACACAATCCTATGAAGAAAAGGTCGAAGATCTCGCTGCTGATCTGGACGCGGCATTACAAGCAAAGAGGAGGCTACAAAATGAATTAGAAGATTATAGAAGCCAACGCGCCATGGACATCGAAGACAAGGAAATTTCCTTAGAGCAAACAAGGAAGAAATATCAGATGGAATTCTCAACTTTGACCAATGAACTCGAGATCGAGCGTGAGAATGTGCTCCATATCCGAGGGGAAAATGCTCGATTGCGGGAAGAAATTGAGGAGCTCCGATCCAAGTGGGATGACGAAGTCTTGAATAGCTCTACCTGGGCGAAGGAGAAGTCACGCTTGGAAATGACTTTGCATGATCTATCGATTTCACGAGACGAGGCCGTTAACACGCACAACGATGCGCAAAGCAAAATAGTTACTTTGTTATCGCCAAGTCCGCGGCCTGCGAACATCGGTAGATGATATTTCCAATGAGCGTGATGCACTGCTTAAAGAGAAGAGGACTCTTGAAGAGCGCCTTAATGAAGCGTCAGATCGCTTGGCTGAACTTGCACAAGGAGAAAATCCTTCTGTTCGCAATGCTGCTGAGATAGATCGGGAACTCCTTGAATTAAGAACTAAACTTGCTCAGCAGGAAGACTTGTCTTCAGCCGCTGTTGGAAAGATGAGGCGAGCAGAAGCCCTGGCAACTGAAATACAGAAGGAAATTGTTGCTGAACGTGAATCAAATGCTCAGCTCTTCAAGGAAAAGGCGGCCCTGGAGAAGCAGCTGAAGGAGGCACAGTTGAAGTGCGTTGATTTGGAAACTAAGGGCTACACTTCTCCTAGTCAGGATGTGAGATTTTTGCATAAACGTATCCAAGAGGTAGGATACCCACTCAAACTACCATGAGTCGCATTTAAAGCATCCCTACTAACACCCATATTTCATACAGCTCGAAACCCAGTTGGATGAACAAGAATCCAAGCGAAATGCTGATCAACGATCAATCCGCAATGTTGATCGCACTGTCAAGGACCTTCAATCTCAGATCGACCGCCGTGACAAAATGAATGCTCAATTATCTGAGGATATTTCCAAGTCCCGTGACAAGATCGAACGGCTCCTCAAGACCGTTGAAGAGCTTCAGTCAAGCGATTCTGAAAACCAACTCCAGGCACGACGAGCCGAAAGGGAACTACGTGAAGAGAGAGAGAAATCTCTACGACTTGAGCGAGAGCTAGAGGCCTGGAAAGGTTTGCGGGTGGAGAGAGGCAGTGCAACTGGTCGCAGCGGGACTGTGATTGGATTGAGTGAAGTGGGTGATCGATTCGGTGGTGTCAATGTGAGTCGCCGCGGTAGTGGCGTCTTTGTAGGTCCGGGACCAAATGGCCCTATCGAAGTTCCTCAACGAAAATTGAGTAACTCGAAAGGATTCCTATGAGCGTTTTTATTTCTCTTCTATTTTCCTTTTTATCATTTTTAAAGATTTGTCTTACGCAAGATAATTACTGTCGTATCTTGACGAGGGGCTTGAGTTCTATTCGCATGCCGGTTCTATGGGATGGTGGAGTAGCGTGGTTTATGTTGTCATGAATACATGAGATACGTGGGTGTGAAGGACGGGGAGTATGATCTTCTAAGGGAGCAAGCCAGGTTTTAAATCTACATCTATTTTCTCATTGTTGCTCTTATATTGGTACATATACAATAGCTCTGGTTGATGGGTTCCTTGAATTAATCATACATGTTTTGACCCCAGAGTAAATACTAGTAAATATCCATTCAATGTTAAAAATTTGGTCTTTATTCTGTGATGACGCTAACTCGATTGAGCAAGAATGAAAACATCCATAGCAACCACTTTGATACCACAACACTATTACACGTTTTTCCCGCCACAACGCCAATTTTCCGTAGGGAAAAAGGACAAGCTACCTCTCCCTACCTTTATTTCCACCTGAGTTTATCTATAATAACATTTTCTGCTTTTTCTCCCACTATACCGTAGCCATGGTGAGCCACCTTTTCATCGCTCCGAAGAGAAAAAAATAAAAAATAAAAAATAAAAAAAAAATAAAGAACCAGTGACAAAAAGCTAACTATAATCGATTTGAATCCAGGCCCGCAACAGCGAAAAGGCGCAGTCTATGCTTTTCCGCTTCCGCGCTGCGCAAGCCGCTGATCTCGGAATCCTCGACATAGGACGTACCCGCCGCCCCAAGGCCATCACATCCGTCACTTCGATTCCCGTATGCGAGAAATGGCGGGGACAAGTGCTCAAAGAAATATCGCGCAAAGTCTCGCGCATCCAGGATCAAAGCTTGAGTGACTACCAAATCCGCGACTTGAATGATGAGATCAATAAAGCGATGAGAGAGAAGTGGATGTGGGAAGTGCAGATACGAAACCTTGGAGGACCGAATTATACGCGTGGTGGCGGGAGGGTATATGATGATGATGGTAGGGAAATACCGGGCGGCGGGAAGGGCTATAGGTATTTTGGAAGGGCCAAAGAGTTGCCAGGTGTCAAGGAGATGTTCGAGGCTGCCGCGAAGAAGCAAAGTAGGAGAGGTAAAGAGGAGGATACCGATGGTGGGGGGAGAGTGGTTGATATATCCCGGAGACACGTCGATGCTGCGTATTTTGGATATGGCTTGGATGAAGAGGATGGGACGCTGTTAGAATATGAATCGCAGAAGGAAAAAGAAGCTTTCGAGAATATGCTGAAGAGAGGCGAGGATGAGGCAGCTGACGGGTGGGCGCCTCTTCCGGGAGATGCTGGGGATGGTGTCGAGTGGAGGCTGCCGACTCTCGAAGAGGTCCAAGAGGAGTTGGTGGATAGACGGCGGCGGAGATTACTTGACAAAATCCTTTGATATCATGATGGTATGAGAGTATGATATGATATTCCTGGGCGGCTGGCGTTTTTCCGATTGTTGACTTTTCATATAGTACTACTACACTCACGTATTATATTCATTAACTGCCTCTAGCTATCTATAATTACATAATGTACAAGGTTGATCTAACAAGAACAATCGCGCGAAAATATTCAGGTTCCCGCATTCACACTACCTCCACAGTCTCCATTTGCCTTTCTTTCTTAGCCAGTTTCTCTGCCTTCTTAGCCTGGTTAATACTTCCGCCCATAGCTGCCAATCGTTCTTGCTGCAGCTTCAATGTCGTCTCCAATATATTGTCCATAATAAAGGCTCCAAATTTCCCCTCTCGATACATGTGCACCATCTTCCTAGCTGCAGCATCGAGGTCCGGCACTCCGCCTTTGGCGAAACATCCAGTTTTTGCACTATATGACTCCAAAAAAGGTATTATATCATTCGTTGGCGGCGAATATTTCTCATATACCCTTGGTTTGTGGAGATTTATTTGATAAAGCAAATAGTCGGCCAACGTAATGCTTGGGACAATAGTATGTTTCACACAACCGCAAAGCGCAAGCTTCAGCATGCTCTCTGAATCTGGCATGTATGGCATAAAGACTCCAGGTGTGTCGTGCACATAGACTGATCCCTGGGCCCTCTCGAGGATTTTAATACCGCCACCGACTCTTCTGGTTACGCCAGGATCTGCACCAGTTTTGGCGGCCTTCCCCTTCTTCATGGCATAATTTCTGAGTGCGTTGATCAGGCTTGATTTTCCAATATTCGGCATGCCAACTACCATGATTCGAGCACCTGTGAGTTTATTTAGGTTAAACGGTTGCAATTTAAGGGCCTTCACGATCGGAACGATTGTATTATTATCGAAACGGCTGGTAAAGAACGCCTTCGATGTCTTATCCCATTGTTGTATCCTTGCCTCATTCTACGTAGCCACAACACATATTAGTATCAGTTCCAGGGAAGAGGAAACAACTATACGTATAAATCCTCGTAACTCACTCTCTGGCTCGCTAACTTCAAATCGCCTCCAAGGTCCCGCTTGGTATATACGATCCACCTTCGTTTCCCGCCCAAAGCCTCTTCGAAGACAGGGTTGATAGAAGTGGCAGGAATGCGAAAATCTCTACATTCAATGACATGATCAATTGACGACAACATTTCCTTCATTTTCTCAAGCCCAGCCTTGTGATGGCCTAGGAAGTAAGTGCGGGGGATGCTGTCAATTTTGGGGAACACCGAGCGCGGTACAAAAGTGGAGGCCATCGTGAGCAGGGGTGGAGAATGGCGGATACGTAATTGGAAAAATTAATAGATATGCTCGCATTTTCAAGCACAGGCACACTCCCTAAGAAGGGTAAAAGTCAAAGACGACTGTTTCGCAACCAAGGGTTCATGCGCTGGAGTTATCTCAGTAAAACTCAGCCACTCCACTTCGAGCTAACCCGATCCGAACTACTGCCAAGTCCTGCTAACATCTGAGCCAATCAACTGTCAAGGGGCTTACACTAAACCTAAATGGGACATTCTCAGCAAACTCTTCGCGGAGCGTCTGAGAAAAAACGGTTCCAGTTTGTTAGCAACACGGGAACGATTTGCTCCAACCATAACGTTTGAGATAGAATCACTGTACAACCTCACTTATAGATCATTTCTCTACCACCTTGGAGGGTTAATTTTCCAATTTCCTATCAATTGAACTAATTTTTATTCAAAAATACATATATTGTGAGTATGAAGTATCACGTTGAAAACTGCTACTCTGATTTTGAACACGGGAATGATTTGCTAATTTTTCAACCATGATCATGTCTAATCACTCAATGCCTTGATCTTGTCATCAAAACACATATCCAGTCATCAGTAGCTCTAGTCAAAGCACTGAGTGTATTTTCTGATGACTTCTGACATCTTTTGATGATGTTCAACAACTTCTGGCAACTTCCATCAATTTCACATAACTCTTGATCACTTCACACAGCACATCAACTTCTGACAACATCTGGAATCTTTCAACAACTTCTGGAATCTTTCAACAACTTCTGGACCAATCACATAACACCTCTTTTTGATAACTGGGTCAGACAACTCTGTTGAATATGGCTAAAAGAGATCAAAGAAAATGCAAAAGTCAGCAACAACAGCAGCTTCAAAAGCTATCATTAAAGCAAATACTTTCCATGAAAATTGAAAACATGTCACAAGTTGTTATGAGCTACGCTGAACATGAAAGTATCGACAAGCAACAGGATGTTATTGAGCATTGTCTTCAATGAATTCTTCAAGACCCGCGTCCAGATCCTAAGTGCACTCTTCAGCCATATATAAAACAAGTTCATATACTCCGATGCATGATATATGGATATGACAACACTTTATTCATTGCCAGAACTGGCTATGGAAAGAGTCTTATTCTTCAATTCTATACAATTCTGACAGAGAAGATAACCATTCAACTGATTCCTGTAAACAAGCTTAATGATCAGCAGATAAGTGATATAGCTCAGTTTTCCTCTACCAATTCTTGTCTGATCAGTGCCAACAATCTCCAGGGAGAAGAGCACTTACTTAAATGTATTCAACAATGTGAATATACACATATCTTACTCAGTTCAGAGCAAGCACTTTTCAAGCAGTTTCAGTGTATTCTTCAAAACCCAACTTTACAAGAAAAGATTGGGCTTGTAGCTATTGATGAGTGCTATTTTATCACACAGTGGAGTGGATTCTGTGATCAGTTTGTCAGGCTGGAGCATCTGAAATTGCTTTTATATGAGTACATTGTCTGATTTGGCTGTTCTGCAACCCTCAGCAGTAAAGATAAAGATATTATTCTTCAAAATGCTAGATTTCGTTCTGTTGATGATAATTCACAGCAGATTCAGATTATTCAAACCTTCATTAACCATTTTGATATTTTTATTGATGTACATTCAATTCCACATGGTAAATTAGCATTCTATAATATGCTATATTTCTTATTGAATGAGGCCGTTGATACAGATGGGAAGATCATACCTCAATCTATCTTAAAAACTATTGTTTTTATTGATAGTATTGTCAAAGTTCATCAAGCAGTGCAGTTTTTCCGATCAATGCTTCTTCAGCTTTGTCAGAATAACAAACAGAATACTGATGATATTGACACCTCTTTCATTAATAACACCATTCAGCTTTTTCACTTTTGAGTGTCCGAAGTGGACAAGAATAATCGCTTCAAGGAGTTCATGAAACCAACATTGAAAATACGAATCATGGTGGCAACAACCTCACTGAGTATAGGTATAAATATTTCAGATGTCGAGCGTACTATTGTATGGAGATTTCCTATCGAGGGAGGTGATATCGCGGATGTTTGGCAACGATGTGGATGAGGGGGTCGTGGATCAGATCAAAAGAGTCATGCCTTGATTTTTCTTCTCTACTGAGCATTTGACTCCGAAGGTTATGAAAAGAAAGCTCTTCAACATTCTCAACCATCGGTGAAACAAAGATCTCAGCAAAGAACTCGATACCAGGCCAGTCAGCTAAGTTAATAGAAGTGGAAAGAATATATCAGAGAATATATCAGAAAAGAACAGAGATTATCAGTTTTTACTAGAAGTTTGAAAAATTAAATAGAAATATTAATAAGTTAAGAATATCAACTCATACTTTCTTCTGTTTAGCAATTTCTGTCATCAATTTATTTCCCATCACATAGCTGAAACGGAGTTCAAAGCTGGAAATCATTTCTATCACTTATCATTTTACTTCTGAGCCATGAAAATATGCAGAGAGAATAGAGCTGAAGAAGTTTGAATTCTTCAAGAAATAAGAGTGGCATATAATACTCATAATAATAAATAGTTGTTTAAGAGCTGTTGTTTCATCTAAGGCCCATTCATAGCTCTTTCAATTTGCATGTTTATTCTTTAGAACAGGAGTAAGCAGCTTAAACCAGGTTGATGCATCAGTTCATATGATCTTAAAAGCAGCCTGGAAATCGATGGTATCAAGATCAACACCATGGTTGAATTTTGTAAAATATGGAGTATTGATAAGGTGTTTCAGCTCCTGTTTAAGTAAGACAATATAATGATGATGATCATGAAATGCTTCTGACTTTGAGAGTGCTGAATATAGTGCATTCCGCCGCTTTGCAGAAGTACAGTATTGTTTATGAATCAAGATATCAGAACTCTGAATCCAAGCATTTATAAAGACTTCCATTCCCTAACCGTTTCACTGTAATGCTTTGACAATGCAAGATAATTTTGAATGTTTTTTCTGCTGATTATGAGGCATAGTAGGCAGGTGCTGTGGGCCATGGGTGTTTGGTTGTGAACAAGCTGATGGGGTATTGATACCAGTGGTCTCAAATTCTGAAGAAGTATCAATAGAGTCAAGGTCTGTTAAATCACTATCTGATGTCTCATATCCATCATCTAAATCATTGAGAGAGTGTAGTGGTTGTTGAAAGGATTCATCTTTAAGTGATGAAGGATATTGGTTGAACCGCGCCTGATGTTGAGTGTCTTGAGATTCAAAAGACATGGTATAGTGTCTTTGGTCAATGGTTGTGGCATGATGAGAAGAGGTAGCAAGTTGCAAAATAGCAGAGATGATAGTGAGATGGCTAAGGATTTAAAAAATATCAATTTGATGATGATCAGGTAGATATTTAATGTAGATGTATGATTCCGAAGTCAACTGAATATTTTGTATGAGCAGGTTTGATTTTCCAGAGATGATGGAACCATTTCTTCTCAAACTCTTTACGAGATATTATGTTGTGAGCACGTGTGGAGTAATTGATTGGTCCAGAAGTTAGCAGGACTTGGCAGAAGTCTAAAGAAGTTTAGTTGATCACGCTAATCTGAAAATATCGAGAAAAGAGGCTGAGCATGCTGAGATAACGCTGGAGGTGAAAAATTAACGTTGAGTGAAATGCCAATCACGTGGTATCTCCTACGGCGTTGGTCTGTGCGCCAATGCAAGCCGATTCCGATTCTCGGGATCCCGACACATTTGCCAGTGCCAGGTTGAAGTTGTTGGAGAGTGGATGGGTTGTATCGAGCCACGATAACACTTCACTTCGGCAAAATCCATTCCAAATCTATCAAGCCTCCAATTCTCAATTACAAACCACGCTTAAGTGCTTTCCAACATAATATCTAGGTAGAGAGAGGAAGAGAAAGTCAGCAAAGTAGATTATTGCTATTGGTGATGGATTTGTGGCGATGTGTGGGTCCAGGAAACGAAACAACATATGATGTAAAATTTGACGATGGTGAGGGCCAATATAACTCTGACAAGACACAGATCTAAACAATTAGGAATTCCGATGTCCATGAGAAAGTATGTCAACACTAATTTGAGGGTATATTCTAAATGCTTGCAATGCATCTTTACAAGATCGCGCCAAAAACCTCCTAACTCCCCGGCGACCGTATCTACCATATTGTTATTCAGAAAAGCATATCTAACACGCCTGATAAGCCGGTAGAATGGGCGCAACGCTTTATATGCCAGCTATCATTGAACCAAGTGCCGATCGGGTTTTCATAAGAAATTATGCCCTCCATCCCTGGACGAAATCGTGAATACGGTCGATAACGACTCCAAAAATAGCGTTCACGCTATCACTGATGAGCTGCTCGAAATGACGGATTGCTTCCTCTTCACTCATTTCTAAGTGGAACCTCTCCTTCACCTTCAGAACAGCCTTGTCCGGTTCGACGCGGATATCGGGGATATTCGCATCGACCATCAAACTGAACAAATTAAGAATGAGGTTTGCAGATTTCCGAAGCGTGGTGTATGCAGTAAAACAATATTGTTTAAATAGGAGATAGTTGGGTGACGACGCTCCACCCATACCTCCACCATTTCTTGCAGAGTTTCATCATGGGAGCAAACGGTTTCGGGTCACGGCCCAAGAATGAACCCAAAATCGGCGTGGAAGAAATGTCCATCCGGTGCAAGCAAGAGGTTGTCTAGATGTCTATCGCCTACGCCAAGAAGGTATGTAATCACGCAGTAGCCGGCGCAGGATTTTATGTAAGTGTCCATCGTTTCTTTACGGACACCCAATGGTTCCTTGTCGTCCGGATTGTTCGCTCTTAAATATGCAAGGATCGATCCCTTGTATTTAGCGGAAGCTGCTGATAGGGATGTCGAGGGGATAAATTGCAGCGCACCGGCATTGGCGCTGGTAGCAATGATGCGGTAAGGGGTAAGTTTCAAATCTAAGTTTTCTTTTTGCAGCAGACGATCCATAAGACTGATAATTTGGATGACAAGCTGATCTTGTCGAAGGTCATCTCCGACCTTAAAAATTACAGGGTATTTTCGTCCATCAGAGAGTTTGAAGTTGATCAACAGAGGTGAGAGGGAGGATTTGAAAACATTAGAACCTTCAGCAAAGCAACCAGTGATCAGAATTTCCGGGTCTAATGGAAGTGGTAGAGGAGGGTCAATGGTAGCAAGCTCGTTTTTAGGGTCCAGCAAAAATTTCTTCAACTTTTCAATCTTGACAGCACGGTTATCCCTCGAGAAGCGAATATCCTTGGCGATTTTGGATAGAATTGTAATGAGTTCACCTTGTCGTAACAAAATCTTCCTCTGTTCAGGGTGGTGTTTCTCCAGCTCGATCATGAAATAATACTCAACGCGGGCGAATAGTTTGCGATGGACGGAAATAGTGCTTGGACCAGCATCATCACACTCAACCATAAGGTACCAATGAAAATAACTTCCAAGGAGTGGGTTGTTCGCAGCCCGAGTGATGAGGAAATTGGTTAAAGAAGAATCTTGTGTGATATCTTCAGCACCTCCATGAGGGATTGCCTCGAACTTTAAGGCTTGTACTAGCTGCAGGAGATACAGGAGGAGCTCTTCGTCATCGGACTTCCTCAACCGTTCCACCGCATAGGCACGAACTGCTGGGTTATCAAAGGTCGGTCCGAGAAGTTCCAATGCATCGTCTACATCAATCTCAGTCCATTTCGGAAGAATTTCCACGGCCTGCCGAGCCTCGCCGATATCTTGCCAATTGACTGATTTCACGAATTTAGTCATGGCCCTCTTATCGCGAGTGAGGTGGTGTCTGAATTTCCAGACAAGGTCTTTCTCCTCAGAGTTCAATTCTTGTGTAGGTCCGTACAACATGATTTCATTCAATTCATCACGGATCTTCGGATTGGGCTTGAGGTCGCGATCCATGATTCCCGTCCGGTGGCTACGAACTAGTCTTCGATGCTTGTCTTCGCAGGGGTTCCCTTTCTGGCCGACCTCTGGGTCATATATTCTAATTATCCTATGTTCATCGTCATCATTAGCTGCGCCATCTATATCAGGCCCCAAACGGACTTCCGGAGGAGGTTTGAGGGTCGAATTAGAGCCCGATAGTTGTTGCTGGGAATAAGAAGATATCGGTAGGCAAGGGTATTCGAAGTCTTCGAAAACGACCGGAAAATCAAAGCGTGGGAATTCGATATAGAGAACGAAGTTCTCTTCGTGATCATTTATCTGATCTTCCTCCCAGTCGTCATCAAGGCTGTCTGCCTTTCCACTTGTCTTGACTGGGACTTTTGCCCTGGCAGCTTGGTTGCGTATTGCCCTCTTTTTTGCAGATTCCTCGGCATCCAATTTTTTCTTCTCTACAGCTCGAAATACTAACTGATCCAACCAGTCAACCCGGGGTATCTCGCCCATCTCATGTTTCTTTAGGAGCTTTTCCAGGCGCTCTAGCTCCTCTTCCTCGCGCGGAGTGGGGCCCATGATCTGTATGGG